TGATGGCACCTTCATCACATGCCTTACGCGGGACACCTTCCACACACGTTTCCGAATGTAAGCTAGGATCAGCTGCAACCACTGCCTCTGAATGTAAGTTAGGGTCTGCCTCTGAATGTAATTTAGGGACATCTGAATGTAAGCAGGACCAGCTGCAACCACTGCCTCTGAATGTAAGTTAGGGACTGCCTCTGAATGTAATTTAGGGACATCTGAATGTAAGCAGGACCAACTGCAACCACTGCCTCTGAATGTAAGTTAGGGTCTGCCTCTGAATGTATCCGAATGTAACCTAGGACATCAACCACTGCCTCTGAATGTAAGCTAGGACCAACTGCAACCACTGCCTCTGACTGTCTGAAGTTTTAGGGACATCTGAATGTAAGCAGGACCAACTGCAACCACTGCCTCTGAATGTAAGTTAGGGACTGCCTCTGAATGTAATTTAGGGACATCTGAATGTAAGCAGGACCAACTGCAACCACTGCCTCCTAATGTGTGCTCGGACCAACTGCAACCACTGTCTCCGAATGTAACCTAGGATCAGCTGCAACCACTGCCTCTGAATGTAAGCTAGGATAAGCTGCAACCACTGACTCTGAATGTAAGTTAGGGACTGCCTCTGAATGTAATTTAGGGACATCTGAATGTAAGCAGGACCAACTGCAACCACTGCCTCCTAATGTGTGCTCGGACCAACTGCAACCACTGTCTCCGAATGTAAACTAGGATCAGCTGCAACCACTGCCTCCGAATGTAAGCTAGGATCAGCTGCAACCACTGCCTCCGAATGTAAAGTAGGATCAGCTGCAACCATTGACTCCGAATATAAGCTAGAGACACCTGCAACACTTTGCAATGTGAGCTAAAAACACCTGCATTACACGCCTAAGAAGCTGGGGGCACGTGCTACTCATGTCTCCGAATGTAAGCGGGGGATACGTGACACATTTTTCCCTAATCTAAGGATATCTGACGTTCCCCCTAAATGTATCAGTAGAAACCTTCCACAGATATGTCACTCCCACTGGGAGATCATGACATTTGCTTTATCATATGTATCTGTGATATCCAATTATAACCATGGCTGCTTTTGTCAGGCCCTACATGCTCCCGTTAATTCTTAAAAGCAATATAACTTTAAGCGTCTCTACCCAAGGGAATGCAGTGGGTGTGAATCCGAGTGTCCGTGGGATGTGTTGTGCAAGTGATACAAGTGTTCACACGTCAGTTTGAGATGTCAATTATTCACATTAGCTGTTGAGGAAAGAATCACTTGACAATTATCTATGTCAACAGAAACCAGACTGAGGTCCCTAGGGGATACACCAAGATAGTGCGACCTTTGTTTTGACGTTTCTCATGTCCGCATATGTCCGCACGACACCTGGCGAAATGGGACTTTATCAATTCAAGCGTTCCTAATAGTAATTTTCTTCTGGGATTCGACAGTCCCAGATGCTGTTTTGGAGTTTCTGCTGCTGGGGGGATGACTGGGTACATCGTTCTGGCGTTCAAAGAAACTGCAACTTCAAACGGGGATAAAGTCAATTTAACACAAATGGCGTCGATGTGAGATACGTGCAATGCGGGATTCCTCAGGGGTTAAATGTATCAGTAATAGGTCCCGTAGGTTTAAGAAAGTGATGACATGTACATTCGTTTTTCTTTATTGCTGTCGTTAAAGTAGCATGGTAGAAATAGATTATGAATAATGGCCATTGCTTTCCGCAGTTATTTAACAAATGGGAGGAAATTAGGGCCTCGAAAACTAATATTCCAAGAGAAAATGGAATTTTATAGAATTTCTTTTTAAAATATTGGACACTATTATATTTTAGTTATCTGTTGTGGCAGTAGGCATTAGAGAAAATGTAGTAAATTGATGTTTCCTGGATGGTTAAACCAAATAATAGCATATATAATTCGCTTTAACTGCCCTTTTCCATAAAAATCCCTCTTGAGTGATTGATTTCAAATTGATAAAAATACGTAACTATGCGAAGATATGGTGTTCCGTATAAGTATAATATTAGTTTATGTATAAAGAAATCGATACAGTTTGCGATTGTTACATCCACAGTGTGTATTATTTTAGTCTCTTCGTTAATATCTGAGGAATCAGAAAGTAAGATATTTTATGGGTGACAACTTCTTTATTATATATGATGCGCCATTTTGGTATAGATTCTTATACCGTTGTCAAGCAAGAGAGAAGTACTACAGCACAGAACGGGTTATATACATCAACAGGGATTATGTAAAAACAACATGTCTCACTGACACCGAAACGCCGCATCATATATTATAGAGAGGTTGTCATCCATAAAGTAACTTACTTTTTTATTACTCAAAAACTTATAAAATGCCAATCAAACAGAATATATGAGGACGTAGACAAATTGTGTGATTAGTTGATTTTACTGTATGGTAAAATGAAATACAATCAGTAGACTTGCACAAGTCTCTAAAGTGAAAAATAGTTTAAATGATAATTTCTAATAGATAATAAATAACAGACTATGGTCCTTCGGAGGATGTAATTACTATACATCCTTTGACTCAGCATTCAGTACGGTCTTGTAGCAAGGCTAACAATCAGCTACAGTTTGAAACTATACACCGTGCAGGCTGGTGATAATGGTGCTTGTGTATTGCTGGTTAGGTTCATTGTTTTAAACCATCCACGCGGAAGGCTGAGTAAAACCAGACGCACATTGACTCTGAATTCGTTATAGCTTAATGCATCACTACTCACTGAGTAAGAATGTAAGATCCAGCGTGTCTAGGGACAACTCCCCTTTGCATGTAATGGAGTTAAAATGACTCATACGAAGCCAGCTGCACTGTTTCCAATGCAGTCGAATATCAGACACTCACTCACACATCAGTGGTGCTTCTACACTACTCTTCATATAAACGTTCCCTCGATCATTTTGTCAGGTTAGATCATTATATTCTGAAGATGGATAAATTGCCCCCAAACATATGCCTAATATACTCATGGAAACGAATAAGGGAACACCTGAAAGTACAAGTGTGCCTTTATTCTTTTCCAGGTTCCTTCACAAATTTTGTATTGCACTGGGGGTGAATTGTGGAAAAGAATAAAGGAACACTTGTACTTGCAGGTGTTCCATTATTTGTCTCCATGAGTACATATACGCTTCCCGGCAAAACACGCATTTTTCATCGCCATGAGTTGGGTAGTCTGTTTACTCCTATTTATGCATTACATCAAAATAGAAATATATGGCATCATGTGTATTTCCAAAGCATGCAAAACTTTCGTGAAAAAAATATACCTGGTCTCGACTATCCTCGAAAACGTTTGGTGTAAATGGCAAATAGCTGTGAAACTCTAAAGAATGAACCTCTTAAAAATCATCTGGATCGTTACGTACATTTGGAACAATGTACTCCTGGCAGTGAAACGGTTTCTAACGGGAACTCATTCTGTATTCTGTAAATAAGTCATTGTCAGTATCGCTGTTGCCATTTTCCCAATCTGACCGTTGTCACAGTAAAACTGTTTTGACTCTATCGTCAGAGTAGCGGTCCTTCAATCATTCAGGAGTCGGGCATTCTGTGTCTTTTTCACAACAAATGAAAGCTTTGTGTTGGGAACTCATCACCGCCCCGCGTCTTAAATCGTAGGATGAAACAAAGGGAAAAAGCTACATACTGCCTTTGTAGAAAGGTCAGTAGTAGTTTAAAAGGTCATTACGGGCTACATTCGATTTAAGAAACAACAACAATTGCTTTAAAAACAACAAATGTGCAGAGAAGCAATTCATTGCCACGGACAAAATTGAACAATAAATCTTTGGAATTGACTTAATGTTTCCACAACTTAATGGAGGTTATGTCTACTGCCACATGTGACCACAACTATAAACTCGTTTGTAATGTTCGATGAAAGAGCTTGATATTCAAGACTTTCGATATTTGCTAGTATACATAAAACTTAAAATGAAAATGTTAATGACATGTATAAAATTGCATTTACACACAGCCTATAATGTCGTTATTTTCTACATTAGAAAGGCCAATTGCTAACATTTTGAAAGAAAAGAATACTGTTATTCTAACCTGTTATCTGGTAGAATTGTACGTTCTTCGTTCCACTGTCCTCCTCTGTGGTGTAGTGGGTAGAGCGCCTGCCCGGGAAGTGGAGAGTATGTGGTTCGAACCCCTGTCCTCCTCTGTGGTGTAGCGGATAGAGAGCCTGCCCAGGAAGCAGAGAGTACCTGTGTCGATCCCGTGGCAGCGCATATAAAATGGCGTGAAAATATAGTTCTTGGTTTTACCCTTCCTGGCGCTTGGCCAGCATGTGATAAAGCATGTTCTTCCAATCTCGAAGTCTGAAACTATACTGGACAAAATAAGTTAGGGATATTGGTATTTTTAAGATTGATATTTTATCAGAGTGTCAATGAATAAATAGATCATTATTAATCATTTCAAAATTTACATATATCCCTAACTATTTTTGTCCAGTATATGTTTTGAGGACGATATCAATATGAAAGTGCAGGTAACTCTGTGGGCGAGAACTATAAAAAACACATATGTCCAGATAGCAAAAACAGGCACAGGCCTGTAATTGAAGGTGGCTTTATTCGTGAAGCTACTAAAGCAAAGTTAAATGGGGAAACAGAAAAACCCAATATATTATCAACTCGTTTTTATGGCGCTCTTCACATAGTGATGGTATAGGGGTTCGCGAAAAGGTGGGCGTATCCTGCATCACCGTCACAAACACACACAAAGGCAAGTTCACTTGAACAAATTACTCAGGAAATGATGGTCAAAATAGGAAGTTCATCGGAGACAGTTTTAGTCACAGTTGCGTCAAACTTTCAAGCCTTCTGTGGTCACAGATATTAATCAAAGTGCGTTTGAGAAAGAGTTGTATAACGGTATTTGACATCAAATGTTTTTAAATATGGATATGGAATCCAGTTTCACCTCACTAATTTTCCTGCTTTTACCAACAGTATGTCATCTGGTAGAGTGGAATACAGTAGCGACATTCGGACCCAAAGATCCCACCTTGGCTGGCTTCGTCAACTCCTTATGTACATCTGTCCAGATCCCCCATGTAGAACTGAGACTGGACACAGCCTCTGACCACCTCTCGGACAAGACCATCAACCTCTACCCCAATGTGGAACAGCTCAGTAAAGCCTTCACCGACCTCATCCGATACTACGGGTGGAAACAGATGCTGGTCATCTATGGAAACACGGAAGGTAGGCATGTTCATGTTTCTTACTCCAGTGCGAGTTATTTGGGGTTACTCTCTGGTGAAACATTGTTCTCGATTTAGAGACATTGTTTGATAATCTTTCATAAGTTTGGTATTCATCCCTACAGAATGCAGTGAGTATGTGAGTTAAGATTTACAGTCACACCTACATAATACAACCAAGTGTTCTAACTATTCTAACTTTTCAAGGGCTTGGAACTTATCTCAGTTTAGATATTGCCCCATATTTAAGAAATTGTTTGACTAAATTTAGATATGGTAATTTTAAACTTAGTTCTGAGACTGGTAAATATAACAATGACCCTTATGATTTAAGATTTTGCTTTTTTTTTACAAAAATCTTAACTGAAAATGAAATACCTAATTTACTTTATTGTAAAATTCCTTTATACGGAATACATTTCTAGATCAAAATTTAAAACATCCTCTATCACAACACAGTTTTGTTAATATAATGTCATAATAATTTATGCCTGTTTTATATAATATTAGGAAAATAAAAATAATTCTGATGTTTATCTGTAAAACTCACACGCAGTCATGCTAGATATGTACTTATGAATGTATTTCTGAAATATTGTTCTCGGTTGTTTTGTTGTGTTACGCCTCTTTCGGCACTATACCAGATACATGAAAGCGGTCTGTAAATAATCGAACCATACATTCCCATATTGACATCATGATCATTAATGTTAGCAATTAATACGATACGATGATAAGTGCATAATCAAGTGTATAAACTAGGTCAACGAGTCTGACCACACGATCCCGCTAGTCTCCTCTTGCGACAAACATTGGTCGCTGAAAACCAGTTTTAACCCGTATGCCCACGTTTTTCCCCGTTCCAAATTACTTACATTCTCGTCAGATTTTTAACGATTTAAGATTAAAGAAACATTTGATTTTTTTGGTCATGGTCATCAAACGCTGTAAGGAACAATCCTGTATTGATTTTTTGTCATACTGTAACCTTTCCCTTTTGATCCTTTATTTTTTATGCATAGTTTCACATTCACAATCAAATGTCAAACTGCGCAATGAAATGAGTAGTTTTAATAAAAGTTTTCTTTAGATTCTAGAAGTTACAACCTCTGAAATGCCTGATATATTTTCTCAATAAGGAGCAGGGCAGACATGTTTGTTCTGCGCATGCGTAATTCTACAGACGTTTATTTTTCGTTTTTCTAGGCGATAAAGGCCATAACAAGAATTTAAGTACATGAAAGTACGCAAAAAAAACCCCCATTCAGTGGGAATTGACTTGAATTTGAATTTATGAATATTGAATCCTTCACCTTGAGAATTATTATTTGCAAAACAAACTCTGATATCTCATATCATATTTTTCTTAAGAGGCCATGTCTGAAGATTAATCAGCCTTTTGAGACATTTTCCTAGAATGGCTCTGTGAGGCTTTCAGACTTGGGAGCGCTGTACATTAAAAATCCGACCTGATATCAACCACGCGAAGCTACAATGCGCTTCTTAACAACTCGACCCTATCAAATGACCCACACAGAATTGATGTGCCTGTTGAAGCTCATTGCGTTTTATCACGGGCAATAGTGCATCCAAACGGCACATCATCAAACTCATACTAACATTGTCCCGGATGGAGCAAGAATGCAGTTTGTATGGAATATTACCCCCGGGGCAATAACTTCCGAATCAATAACAAATATGCAAGTCAAACCTGTGAAATGTGTCTTGCCTTCCAGCCGCAAGCAATCGGGAACTTTCATCCTTTAGGCCAAATTAATTATAAGGGATTAGCGTCTTTTGCATGGCTTCTCTTTGATCGGCAATGCCCGAGGCGGTGAGCACAGAGGATCATTTACCACTAATTATATTGTATAATCGCTTTTGTAAAAAACCTGATGACGATTTCACGAGAATGGGATCGTTTTAAGAAGATATTTCAGGAACCTGAGTAATTTCAATTTAAACATTCCAAACTTCCCACTTATTGGATTATGCTGTGACAAACCATATAAATAGGTATTTTAGGACTAACCTTTTATCACGCCCCCAGGGAGAACAGGCATGATATTCTTCATTGGCATTGCCCAAGTTCAACGTATAACACTGCCATTCTATAACAGTCTGAGATTAACATAACCTTTACGAAGATAAAAAATACGTTGTTGAGATATTTTTTAAAGAAATCTCCCCCAGCATAACAGAGATCAGCATGCTCGGTTCTCCTTCTGTAATCGTTTCGTTTGTAACGCTACACCTAAATGTTTTTGATTTGTCAGAGAGGGAGAGTTTGGAGATTTGCTTCTGATGAAGTTGGGTTTCGTGTCTTGAGATTGGCAGTATTCTTTATATTCACAAAACGTTGTACGATTTGCAATTTCTTCAAAATAGTCAATCATGTACAAACATTACAGTAAATTCAAACGCAGGTGAATTGCATTATTTGCAACAGTTTGGTGACAATTTGCAACCATGTAAACAATAATATTATATGTGTTAATTGTTATCTAACAGGACTCAGTGGGTGGGTTTAGTTTTACGCCGCTTTTAGCAATATTCCAGCAATATCGTGTCTGGGGACACATTGTGGGGAATCGAACCCGCAACTAACAAAGGCTTTAACCGCTAGGCCACATCACCTTCCCTTCTTTCACGAGGAGTGTGGCATCAGAACAATTAGAAGGGACGCTTTAATCACTAGGTTACCCCATCGCCCCTATGTAACAGGAATGAACTAACGGTACCACATCAACTGCTTTGTTTCAGATCTGATGAAGGTTCAGAGCGTTATTCGTGGCAATTTTGAAACAGCATTTGATATAATGGTCCGCCAGGTTGACTACAAGAACATGAGAGACGTTCTGAAGGAGGCCAAGGAGAAGAAGTGGACAAATATGCTTGTAGATCTAAACCTTAACTATACCAGTCTCTTAATGAAAATGGTACGTATAGCTGCTAACATTAGTATTAAATAATTAAGTTATGCCATTTGTTTGTGAACTGTATAATCAATGAACAGATGACGTGTTATTTGTAATCCAGTTGTTAAAGAATATGCTATTTTTGATAAGATCTCTACAACGAGTTCGTGTCATTTTACCAATGTGGCATGAAATAGATGTTTTACACACCCGCCTGTAAATGACATAGAAAGTTCAAATAAACGTATAAATGTTATTTTTTCAGGCCTTACAAGAAGGTATGATAGATCCCTATCATCATTATATTCTTACAAATTTGGTAAGTATCGTCCTGTACAGTCTTCGCGAGCGTGTATCAGCACCAAGTATATGATAATTATGTTTGTATGTTCATGTATATTTATGTCCACCGATTCCAAAATAAGAGTCTTAAATACTCGCAAACTTGAAAATAGTAACACAATTTCTTTTTGTAACAAATAAATTTTGTGATAATAGTTAATAATCCATTACTGCCAACACGTACACATAAATCATCGACATGTTCGTTGTATACCATTGTAGGACATTGAGTCTATAGATATGGAAAACTACCGCTACAACTACGTCAATCTCACCGGCTTCCGCATGGTAGACCCCAACACTGATTACGTCAGGGACGTCATGAAAGCTATGGAAGTCTATGAAATTCAAACAAATAAAGTCATGCTCAACAAAAGTGGTTACTTATCACTACCAGTAAGTATAAGCATATCAGTTCCGTTGATACACTGTCGCAATATCAGTCCTTCCTTCATAACTACTTAAAGGTAGCTTTGTACACCTGTAAATATACTGATTTACCTGTAAATTTACTGATTTACCTGTACATATACTGATAATATTATTATCTATGGAGCAAACATTCGGAAAGAGGTGGGTCATTTAAAAAAACAACATAATAAAAGTCCCCTTTCCAATGATTTTTCCTTTTGCCTCGTACTGATGGAAGAAAATGACTTGCCTTTTTTCGCAGACAAATTGTGTCCAAGGAATACATTTTGTAAAGCTGTTTTTAAAAACCCAAGCCTCCTTCCCGTATTTGTATTTTCATTCAACAGATCATAAATACCTAGTATCTGATATGTGATCAGATTTACTTTGAAAAAAATATAAAAAAATTGAAAATATTGTTCAGACGTATCGAATGACATTTGTGTTTGCGTTTGTTTGTGATAATGTTGACTTCAAGAAGTGCTGTTCTGTGACAAATGATTTGGTATTCCAGCACGAAGCCGCCTTGATATTCGACGCTGTGCATTTACTCGCGAAAGCCTTACATGAACTCGACAAGAAATCCATCCTCCGCCCGGTCAACACAAGCTGTGACTATCCTCTGCCCTGGCCTTCTGGCCCAAACCTATACTCATATCTCAAACAGGTACATGCAGTAATATACACCCAACAAGTGCGTGCTATAGACATATTTAGGTTAGGTTATGTTATTGATTCCATACATACAGACTGTTCCATGTCCTTCAGTTCTACATTTCCATAACCAGCGCAACAGATGTATTTGTAATATTCTCTACAGAAATTGCACAAATTCGTTGTTAAATGTGAATTGCAATATCAAGATACCTTAATCATTACATAACCTTGACCACGTACAATCTGTTGTAAACTGTGGTATCAAAACAGTTGAAATTATTTCTTTTGTATGCGGTTCTGGAACATTGGTCATGTTTGTTTTCCAACACGAAAATCTGGAACTCGACCGAAGGGAACATAACTCGGGGAAACATGTTTTTGATAGATCACTAAATGGATAATTTTGAAATATAATTACTGTTATACATATTATTGCAGTTGGTACATATGTCTTCAGAATACATAATGTGGTCACTAGTGATTTGTACGAATTACGATTAATATGTTTCTTTCTTTCTTTGGATGCTTGATTAACGCCGGACTGTATGACAACAGTCCGTTCATAAACGTGTCAGGACCAGACAATCCAGTAAATGATGTCATGAGCAATTGGGATACAATGACATGTATCAACCAAGTCAGCAACCCGATCCCGTTAGACACCTCTTACGTCAAGCATGAGTTGCTGAAGACCAGTTCTAACCCGGATCTTCACGTCGTGAATATGTACGGACATTCACATGGTATCATGCCTATCGTTTCAGGTCACAATAAGAGGTCTCACTGGAGAGGTCCGATTAGATAGGGGTCGACGATTTGTATTCAAATTAGATTTGCTGCAACTTAAACCCAAAGGTTTAGAGAAAGTAAGTACTGGTGTATATGGTGAAAGCTTATATAGCGATTAGTTTTTAATACATGTGTAATGTACATTCACCCTTGGAATTGAGAATCTCCCCGAAGAATGTGCTCATACGATGTTTCTTGTGGGGAACTTTCAATGGAATGGTGGCTTTGGCTGTAAAATGACGCTATATAGATATGGTACAAGTAAACCAAGTCACAATTTCTCAAACACTATATGACATTTCGCTTCATACCTCATATTGATAGATAAAGCAAAATGATATGGATCATAGCTGATATTTTAAATGATCCAGTTACAATTCCATCTGACCGTAACTACATTACGGCACACAACAGACTTGATTATTAACCACATTATTCTTTAGATCTTTGACTATGGACATGGCTTTGTTGACAGGTAGGAGAGTGGAGTGTTGATAAAGGACTCAACTTCACTAATCTACAAGGCTATGCAGATGGGAACCCATTTGGTAACAAAACTCTCATAGTCACAACAATCATGGTAAGAATCGTTTTGAAGAAGAGGCAGCGTATATGTTCCTAAATATATTGTCGTAGATGGTACATGTGAGCTTGTAAAGTGTTGTCACTCTATGCTGGCTATAGGATGATAAGTAATATTCAGCTCTGCTTCAAAACATGCAAGTCATACAAAAAAACAAACATGCACAGAAAATATCAAAGGAAACCTTTGGAGATATTTACACAATAAAATGAAAGTGACAAATCACTGCTGTCATGGATTGTACGGGAAATTTGTATAAATAATGCATTACGTTTAAGAAATCTGTTATTACATGGCGCACCAGATATCGACCTGCAGATTAAAACAAGCTTATGATGCCCCGCAGTGACCTCCAATCAAGAATCCTGACACTCAGCACACATAACACAAAAATATATTTGAGTTTTTCTGTCACAAATGAATCGGTTTTTGTCACTAATGCACCAATGCCCTTATAATAAATAGTACGATCCACTTTGTGTGCACCAAGACATAGTAATTGGATAGACGAAGGGAGCAGTCTACCTATTGGAATCATTAGCTCTCGCCATTATCTTTTGGTGACAGTCCTAATGCATTTTATGTATTAAGGAACAGGACATAGGATGGTCAAAACCAATTTGGTTAATATACATGTTTCCGTGTCTTGAAAACAAATGGGAAATATGTTTGTAATGACACTCCCAAGTAAATGGATCCTAAAGAAAGCAAATGCCCCATGCTCGTCCTTTACGTACCTCAATGTGGACTATCTTGAATAAACTAATTTAATCTCTTGATGAGTTTTAGTTGAGAATAACAACGATCTTTGTAGTATAAGCAGTGTACCAACACATCCCCCTGGTGTTCCGGTCTGTAATTATACATTACGTCTCTTCACAGAATGACCTTTGGTACCTCCGGTACAAATCTCCTTTCCTTTGGGCAAATTACTACTGATGGATTTTCTTAATTTCTCCTAATGTTTTTTCAAAGGTCAGAGATGACAGATTATTGATTACTTTTTTAGGGAAAAACTGAGGTTCTGAACAGACAGGCATTTTGGTCATTACCAAAGCCGTCATTATATCCGTGTTATATGCACGGAAGCAGTCGTGATTTCCCAGTGTTTCCTGGTTTATGTTTTTTTGCGCCACCATCATTATTTTTTTCGGGAACGCATGACCTAAACACACTGCATTGATACACATGTACATATGGTGTCCAGAGTCCCCGAAAGGAAGAACCTTTTTTATAGTGTATCAATTTATACCTTTCCCTGTATCTGGAGTGCTGACTTTTAAAGGCCCTCTCTTGGAAATAGCTGTCGAAAAAGAACTCACTCGGCATATGAAGAGGTTTATGGGAATATTCAATTTAATCTATCTGAAAGGAGACAATTTCGACTGCCTGACAATCTGAGTCAAGTGAATTTTACTATCTTGACAATCTCTTCGCGAAGAATATATTCGTATGACATGAGGTGAGGTTTATGGAAATTTTTGATTGAACACATGACCGTCAGCGTTCACAGACATGAAGTTCTTGAACAAAGTAGCAGTCAAACTCATGGATCGCTGTGTGCATATTTTCTCCTTCAAATGGTAATGCAGAACTCGTGAATGCAAATGAATAGTCTTTGCATCTCGTTTGAGACATTGATGAATGTGCAATATTATCTATTTGCCCTAAGGTATGAAAAAACCCGTAAATCAAGAAAAAATATATTTCACATCTTCTTGCAGTATTTTCAGAGAGCATCAATGCTGTGATTTGAATTCATGAGAAACGTTACTTAAGTGCTAAAAACCGTTTATAAAGCAATAGAATTGTGAATGTTTCATATGACGCATTGGTAAAATGGAACTATTTATCGATTACATGGAAATGTGATTAAACGTGGGTTACAAAGACGTAATATATGGTACTTCATAAACACCCCACAAACACATGTCCGCCTCTGATCTGTCGGGTCTCTTTTCCGAGTACTAATATTAATTGATTTCACATTTGTGTAGTAATTTTATATAATTTTAATTTGTTCAGCTACATATTGAACTGCATGATTGTTCAAACTGGTATAAATATGAATGGATAATATTAAGCATGCGTAATTGTTTATTTATATCTGTTTATGATGTCTTTATTTCCTTAATTCACCAGATCATGTTTTCATCTTTCTAGTGTTGTAATTCCACTAATGGCTTATGTTGTCATATTGTACCATGTTCAGAAACAACTAAGAGGAAAGAAAACCAATTACAGTTGATTAGCAATCAATGGAGCTGTAAAAGTTACATCAAATGTGTCGATCAAACACACGTTGACTCACACACAGCAACATGTCGATCAAACACACATTGACTTATACACATCATCAAGTCGATCAAACACACATCGACTTACACACATCAACATGTCGATCAAACACACATTGACTTACACACATCAACATGTCGATCAAACACACATCAACATGACTTACACACATCAACATGTTGATCAAATACACGTTGACTCAAACATATCAACATGTCAATCAAACACACATTGACTAGTCCACACAACATGGATATTTAATGCATTACCTTAGTTATCTCTGAACATTTGCTATTAATTTCTATATGCACGTGTTGATGTACAATTTAATTTTGTTTATGTCACTGTACTTTATTTCAGAAGAATAAAAAGCTTCCCCCTGAACTTATTGTAACAACTATTGCGGTATGTTTTAGATGCAGAAGAACGCATGTGTGACTTATGTCCTATTCTGTATGTTTTTATGTTTAGATACCGTAGTTTGAACACAAACACTAACGAACGAGTGGATTTGTAGTATAGTTGACACCTCTATCAATAACGTGACTCAACTACTGACTTCAACACTGTATCAAAACGCCAAAACGTAAGAGGAAATTCGAAACAAAAAAAGTTATATAATTGTATTAATCCAACTTTATTTGATCCAATTCTGTATGTACAATCATGCAACTGTAATTAATTTAGATGTATATGCTGTACTGACACACACGGACTCTAGAATACATAGTTATCACACGGTGTCCTGCATTCACACATTGTCTTAGTGGATAGGCATGTCTCTACAGTGCATTATAACACAAGAAGCTATTGTCAACATTGATACCTTGAAGAGAACACACCTGAGTGAGGATTTGATAAAAGAAATGGTCTTTTTAAAAAAGATTTCACCATGCATTTATAGGATGCTCGGGTGGTTAAATGGACTAGGGTATCGGGGCTTGTTCGGTACATTGTGTAGTTGCATTTGTAGTGCCTCAGTCTCAGAATGTCCTCGAATATGTTCACTGATTTGTCAGCAACATGGGTTTCTTCTAGTTGGACGTGTTCAACCTTCATTTGTCACTACGCGAGATATTAACTATGTTAAATGTATTCCTCATAGTGGCTTTATGCCACTCATTCATAACTCATTCATATGTGATAACAAGAACTATCATTTACTATTTACAGTTTTTAATCATTGTGTAATAATAGATAATACATATTGACCTTTCATAGTAATTAATAAAAGTTTTCGTTCTTTGTACATGGAAACGTGTCATGAAATCACTAAATTTATTTAAATGTCTCTATTCCCTAATTGTTTTGTACCTTCTTATGTATGCAATGACGAAGGTATATAGGATGAATACCTATGTAGTCACGGGTCCATTTGCTTGTGGTTTTATTTACACGTGTTCTGTACACGATTATTATCATATGCATACTGATAAAATGAATGTAAAGTTTATAATCTCACAGTAGATATATGTCAAGTACAAACGTTACTAATATCATTACATTTCACACATATGTACATGTTAACGTATATAAACAATAATAGTAAGAATAATATGTTTACTTACATGTTACAAAGTATTACATATGAGTTAATGTAAGTATGAGACAAGTGATCAACGGTTATCGATTATTCTATAATCAATGTATTTGATGATTACATACATATACTGTCACTGACATTATATTTAGGTGCCGTTAATCAACAGTAGTCCTACTTATCAATTTACAATGAAAACAGTGTTATACAATTTACACTTGAATTATCACAAATCTTGGGATCTTGTATATTTACGGTTCATTTACATTATCAGACAGCAAGATTGTTGTTTCTGGTTCCAGGAAAAGCCTTATATGATGAAAAAGGAACGGAAAGTTGACGATGGTCAGGAATATGAAGGGTTCTGTATAGATCTGCTGGAGGAACTTTCCAAGATCGTGGGCTTCCGCTACAAGATTGTGTTGGTTGCTGACGGAAACTATGGTGCTCCTAATGAGAAAAAGAAATGGAACGGCATGGTCGGTGAACTTATAGCGAGGGTAAGCATGGTATCACAACTCAAGATGTTTAGATGTTCCTCGATGTCTTCTTGGCACAAGGTAACAAATGTCATCAAACATGCTCCTGTCATCACGGTTGTGATACAAGAACCAGTTCTTACTGTAAGGACTATAACACATTAAAATGTAGTGATGAGCATAAATTCTGATTTCATCAGAAGATTCTCATTAAAATCTATCAAACTTTCAATATTTCCTAAAGTGTGCAAAACTATTTCTTAGCAGTGAAACTTCTTTACTACAGAAACACTTACCCCGGGTTATTGTTGTTGACTGTCCTCTTACAACTGACATTACTCAACACCATTATATACCTCATTCCTATAATATTAGTCAGTGGTAACCATGGTAATCAGAGTTGTTCGTATTAATAACTAAATATTCACCTTAACTTTGGATTTAGTTTGAACAAGAAGTGTGTGAAACTTCACTACAGAAACACTTACCCCGTTATCGTTGTGATGTCAGACATTACTCAACACCATTATATTGTTTCCTATATTAATGGTAACTAAATCATTCATTAATAACTAAATATTCACCTTAACTTTGGATTTAGTTTGAACAAGAAGTGTGTGAAACTTCTTTACTACAGAAACACTTACCCCGGGTTATCGTTGTGACTGTCCAACAACTGACATTACTCAACACCATTATACACCTCACTCCTTTAATAGTAGTCAGTGGTAACCATGGTAATCAGAGTTGTTCGTATTAAGAACTAAATATTCACATTAACTTTGGATTTAGTTTGAACAAGAAGTGTGTTCCAGTTTTGCTACGTAATCGTATAACTATTAAGAACAAATTAGGTTACTCATGCTGTTATTAATTACACATACTATAATTATATGGTGTCTTCATTTTCGGTCTTCTGTCAAACTGATGTATGGTAAATACTATGTAAAACACTAAAAGATTACGATGATTGTTAAATGAAATCTGCATCTAATATGTAATACCGTAGAAACTTAATAACTCATGTTTTCACTTTCTTTTGAAGTTGAAATAATCACGGTCTTATAATTGCAGTCATCATAAATATGACAATTATAACATTCCGTACTATGTGTACTGTTAACGCAACAGAAAAAGAATATGAAATGATAAGATTAGGCAATCTTTTAATAAATACCAAAATTAACACGCAAGGTTTTAGTTTTCTTAGAAAAAACCCATTTCTCTTGCATATTGATGACACACCACAAGACCTGTAATACAAAGCTGATGAATGTAATCACATTATTAGGTGGCAAAATTCACTATTTGCAACAAATTGTCTCCCAAAGCGAAGGCGGTTCAAACTGCTCACAGATAAAATCAAATCAATTATTACCTCATGAATAACATACAAAACGGAGCTTTGAAGTAAATACCACTAGGAGGTTAATGAAGACAATTGAAACACGTGAACAGCAGATAACGAAACACAAAGACAGAACGAGGACAATTATGATTTGTTTGAATAATGACCCTTACCTTGGCAAAAGTGACAGGCAAAATAAAATCTATGTAATCTCATCACTTTTGACCAAGTAACGCTTCCTTCAGTTATTGGCGTGACAGATAACTCAATACTTTATTTCAGCCGTGATGAGAATGACAAGTCTCATAAGGGCATTTTACAACTCTGAGATGATTCATTTTTGTTGTATTTCAGAGAGCTGATTTAGCCGTTGCGCCCTTGACTATCAACTATGTGAGGGAACAAGTCATCGACTTCACAAAACCTTTCCTTAATTTAGGAATTACAATATTGTTCAAAGTGCCAAAACGGGAAAAACCGGGACTCTTCTCGTTCTTGAACCCTCTTGCTATTGAGATCTGGCTCTACGTTATTGGGGCCTACTTTATTGTCAGTTTCACGATATTCATTCTCGCCCGGTTTAGTCCGTACGAGTGGTACAATGCCCACCCGTGCAATCCAGACACAGACACTGTGCAGAATACATTTACATTGTCAAACAGCTTCTGGTTCACCGTGGGCACTCTGATGCAGCAGGGGTCGGACATAAACCCGAGGGCGGTGTCCACTAGGATTGTAGGGGGGATCTGGTGGTTCTTCACACTTATCATCATATCATCCTACACCGCCAATCTGGCTGCTTTCCTCACTGTGGAGAGAATGGTATCTCCCATCGAGAGTGCGGAGGACGTTGCCAAGCAAACGGAGATCTCATATGGGACCTTAGGTAGCGGTTCTACAATGCAATTTTTCAGGGTAAGTTGAACCTGTTGATGGTGGAACTCAATGCTAAGGTCACCGGTGGTTTCAAGTGTCCGAAGTCAGATATACGTGAAGTCCAGTTATATCGAAGTATGTTGGTACAGTAATTAATGGTCTTTGGTTCTAAACGCCCTGTAGACATCGGAGCAGACTGACCACCATCATCACATGCTTCTAGCAATAGAGTTTCTAATGTGATACGTGTCTGATTTTGTGTTTCCCCAAACCGTGGTAGATGCTCATACTGTCAACCACTGGTTTACCATTTTCACCATTTTACAGGCGGTCATGGCAAAGCTGGAGTAACGCTCCGTGGGGAATAACACAATATTCACCCCTACATTTTCGTTCCTTTGAACAGTCAGTTTCGTATTTCATGATGAGATCTTAAAAGGTCACTTAGATTTAATTGATTTCAGAAGAGTCTCAAAGTCACCTTCTCCTATTAATGAGAGAGTTAAATTTTAAATGATTACACAATTGGTATATAAATGAAGACAAGGCCCAAGTATCACTTCCTAGTGATAGTTCTGATTGTTTCATGTACAAAAGACAACTATCGGATATGTCAACAAGATTGAAACATATTCTGCTTTCGTGATATCAAACTATCATGTGTGGTCTGTGTTCTGGTTCAAACATTACCAAAAACAAATACATACGCACTTACACATATACATCGACATCACGAGAATACAGAAGCAAACCCATCCAATGGCCACTCTCTTCCCTCATTAATCACTGTGAGGTATGGGTGTGTAATACCGTCGGGGAAATCGCGAATTGTATACCGACGAGGAATCAACCTCAACACTATCACATCACTTTGCGCAGTGAAACGTTCACGACTCATGTAGGAAAATAATCAATAATGTCCTCAAAATGAGATATATTTGAATGGTAGAGTAATAACCAGGGGTAACAGAACACCTCGAGTGGTTTCCTCTGTGGATCCAAAGTGTCATACTTTGTACTTTTACCTTTGAAGTTGCTTTTATGATCCAAACGGGTGTTAAATATCTGTCCCTGGTATCCTGTCACACGTTGAGTTGGATGTTATTAAAACATATTATTATTAGGTAGTTTGACTCAGGTTTGCCTTTACCCTATCCGCGGTCTTGGCTTACACCAAAAAGGTGAATGTGCTCCGTCTGCATCATTAAGTGCCATCCTTCCACATGAAGCCGAGACGCCGTGATCAAACTGAAATACTGTTCCAACGGCCTTAAACTAAATTCACTCACAAAAGCCTTCAGAGGGAGTAATACAGTATTCTTGTATTTGAAAACTCAAACCAATCCCCGTGAGCAACGAGGAGTTGATAAGTAAAATGTCTATATGAAACTCTAACATAGCTTCGATGTAATTCAGCTTGAACATTTCAGATTTTCTTTGCTTTGCCAATCGATCTCAAGTGTTCACATCTTTGACAAGGTTATTTTGCTTACTTTTAACTTTTTCCACGCACTGTTAAATTTCTTTTAAAATGCCCAATCTAGTGAGTGCCTGCTTGTCTGTTACGGAAAACAGATCGGTCAAAGAATCTTTGCTTGCAAGCTTGACACCACTAAAAGGAAATGCCACTAGCAACATGTAGCAAATCACTGCGCGGACAAACTGACCTCCGCTTGAGCGACTCTTGTCCAAATTTGTCAAAACCCGATAATCGGCCCTCATGGTTAGATAATCTTCGAGAGCTTCTAATTTGATTTGAGGGGCCCCTGGGTAGGATTATTGGAGTTTTAAAACAAAGACACGCATTTGGACGTGGTTGGGAGCCTATAAATACTGACTAAATTGGCAAATATTATGAGGTTTCTTGACTGCAATTCAATAAATGACTAGAGCTTGCAAACGCATGATGGGAAGCTGAACAATAAAGACCAGTCCACCCTTCTGAGAGCTCCTGCTGAGATTTAACGTGGAAATAGCGCTATTGCAGGGACATTGCTTCTCCGCAGCACCAAGGCACTGCCTTGCGTCACGTTACTGAGTCAGGCTGCGTGAGAATCTCCCTAACTCAATTACTCAAATTGAATTTGTCATTACGGTGATCCGCCGAGGTTTCGGCCATCAAGCCTGGCTTTCCTTCACATGTGCGCTCCTAAGGAAAATCCGTGCATTTTCCATCATCTTTTTCTAATGGGCTATACGTTTTCTCTACTGATGACTTAAAGCCGCTTTTCACCATTTCGTGATTTAAACGGAGGGCAATGCAGTTGTGAATTGGCTCTATGTTTTTGCGTCAACGTGTAGCTGAAGTTAAGTGCAATGTTCTTCTAGTACATGAGACTCTGCATAAAATGTATATACGCATTAAACCTAGATATCTTTTGAATCCACGTAAATGATCCGACGTTTGACAAGCTACCATAAATAAACATTGACATGGACAAGAAAGATATAGTACAGTGCAGCACTTGAAATGGCTTGTAGATTTTACTGAAAAGCTCAATACAGAGTACCAGTACAAATGATGTTCTTAAGTATTATTGAATATCACAAGTAACAGTCATCTTCACTGAGGAAGGTGAGAAACACAATTATCATAAGACTTGGAAATGCCCCGTGAAACCTGAAATGCCCGCTAGGGGGAGCCAGCCGGGAAATGAAACCGAGGCATTTATTGCCCTTATGCGTCTCCTTGATACGCTCTCCGAACAAGAAATGGATAGGAAACGTTTGGAGGCGAGCAAAGCCCGTTATAACGTCCCATTATAACCAACTTGTTCCAAGCTGGGTGGTGTGCAAGCGTGACGACAGTAGAGGTTTGGATATGGACGACAGGATTTTAAGATCAAACAAGTCATTTACGTTACCTTTCATCGATTATGTACAAGGGTATGCCTTTCCCAATAAACGCTAGCAACAGTGTGAAATAGGTCCTGTGCGTTCTGTCGAATTTGCAGTTAATGTCCCTACTGATATACCAACTACAGCTGATTGCATTGATAAGAACTTTTTCACCGACCTTGCAGATTTAGCAGCGTGTGAGCTGTTCAAGGGGGATTTTAATACGCAGTAAATCAACGCTACGTATACGGTGTATGCAGTCTGCTTACAAACTGCTGACATTATTATCACCAGGGAGCTTCACGTTGATGAATACGGGTCGACAAGGTTCAGGTCTTCCTGCCTCCTCGTCTTGATTGGCAACGTTGACATGAAATCAAACTCTCGTTGCCCGTAAATGAAATGAATGAAATCAATGCTACAATCAAATATTTTTTTTGAATTTTGAGATGCAACTCGGATACCAAAGGGGAATTACATCCCCTGAACTGCATATCAAGCCCAGTTCGTTTTCGCGTAACTTAATATATCTAAGTACAGCTGATAAGAATGTTGATTTAAACCTGCTACCTTATATCATTACCGTTCCTTGGGTAATTAAAATAAATGAGAAAAAAATGCAGCAATACTGTTAAGCAAAGTGACATTATGCGTTCAAAATTGACCCAGACAAACTTTATTTTTGACACAAACCTTTTAATGAGCAATAGGCTTTCAAGATCAAACACAACCTAACTGCAAGGACTGCTTAGTGTAAGCACCGCCGAGACGTGAGCAGATTGAACGTCCATATAACCGTTATCATAGACATGCGCAGTCTGGATGAAAAATCGTCGTTTTTGCTGTGTTGAAGTGGCTTGTAAGAACTTCCAGTGTTTGATTGCGATCTCAAATCTGTTTTGATAAGAACGAAAGCATTTACAGTCTGCGTTAATACCCTATTACTTTGGCCTGTGCCCTTGTTGCTTTCTTGTCCAATGAGTTTTTAAAGCAGTATTCAGACAGTACACACTAACCAGCAACAAGGGAACCAACGAGTATGAATCCCTGTATACTTCAGCATCCAATTTCTCCGCTGAGACAGGTTTTGTTCTGATGGTAAACAATGCTGAACAGGGCAACGTCGCTTAAATTATATGTCATTGCTGGAGATATAAAACTAAAAAAATGGCTCTTCTCTGATAGTGCAGATTTATACTGCTAGTTCAGACAGGGGGACACCAGATCTGCAATAAATTCCAATTCTGTGCCGTTTTTGAAGAAACCGTCGTCCTATTTGACTAGACTGAACAACATTAAAGGCATTATCATCCTTATCGGATCGTTACTAGATGATGAAGAAATTCTGATTTAAGGAGAAGATGAATGTTTTGATATCGGGAAACAAACACCCACACTTGTTTGACATGACAGAATCAGAACGCCATTAAGGAATAACGTGCATTACATAATATGTAGGCAGTTTGAGATTATGTTTTCAGATAATTTTGACACATTTTTATGAGACGGTTTTTAACACAGAAAAATGATTTTTGAAGAGGAACATTTAAATGCTTGTACGGCTTTGCTTATCTGCTAACTGCTACTTTAATCATATAGTCATTGTATCAATTGACCTGAATTACAAATTGACAAGGACGTGGGGCGTTAGTTTCTCTTCAACAGGGGCACTGGACCAATGACATCCCTATTGCTTTCCAAATGTCAAAGGGGCTGCAGGGCACTGGACTGGCCTCGTGGTTAAAGCGTCCGCTCGTCACGCCGAAGGCCCGGGTTCGATACCCTACGTGGACACCATGTGTGAAGCCCATCCCTGGTTTCCCCACCGTGATATAACTGGATTAACCCTTAAAACGGACTAAAACTCAATCATTTAGTCACTCAAATGTAAATGTTCCTGAGATCAAAGTCACATGAAACCTCCTCCGTAAACTCTGGACAGAGCATCTGCTCGGAACAGGCAATGTCGGTAATTCGTTGTTACCCTGCCTGGAGCTCGGCATTATGATAATTAAACAAGAATTTGTCTAAAATGTGTCTAAGGGTATTCATGTCAGTAGCCTATCACTATAAACTTGCCATAAGTCCGGACTTTTAAACAACCACGTTTACACGTTCCTGTAAACTTGCAATATTCTCGAACGCGACCTTAAACCCAAACTCACATCAACTCAAAATCAAAATCTGACATTCTAATATGAGATTATTTACTCAACGAGGCTGTTGAGAGACAGCTCGAGTACAAGCAAGTGCATCAATATTACACTATGCTAAGTACATCCCGTATGGCATAAGCTCCATGTCTGAAATACCAAACACATTGTACAATTGGACACAAAACGTTCTCACAGCAGGGATACATCCTTGGTTCTTATGTTTATTTTTTAAGCTCTGCATGTCAAGACACGACACGTATTGGCCAATATCTTTGCACTGACAGTCAGTCTCGCATGGAAAATAATTTTCTGAAGAGATACATTCAAAGTCTCGTACGGCTTTGCTTATAAGCAGGGATACTTTATAGTCCGTATGTTTAACTTTTAAGCTCTGCATGTCAGGACACGACATGTAAGGGCCAATATCTTTGCACTGACAGTCAGTCTCACAAGAAAAAATAATTTTCTGAAGAGAAACATTCAAATGCTCGCACGACTTTGCTTATAAGCAGGTATACATCTTTAGTCCTTATGTTTAATTTTTAAGCTCTGCATGCCAACACACGACATATATTCTCCAATATCTTTGCACTGACAGTCAGTCTCCCATGAACCAATGGCGAGAAGTGATGTGTGTATGCAGCTAAGCCAGTCCAATCAAGCACCTACGGTGACAAGGTGGCAAATTTCCCACGACACTGAAACCCAGTGGCTCAAAGTACCATCCTAGTATCTACTAATTGAACCACAGACACCTAACGCCAGCTCGTGAAGCTCGAGATTCCATTACTGAACCTTGCGACATACATACCAATATTCTCCCCGCCAATGTCAGGCGACGGAATATCTCACAAGTCTGCACACGACCAATTTGTCGACATACGTTCAGTGTGCGGCCGTCAGTCCTTCAGAATTGATTTTCGCATTTCTCGAATAACAATTTATCGCTTGGAAATACAATACAAATAACAGAAAAAGTGATTCAATGTACATTTGTCCTATTGCTAAGAAGCGAGGTGGTATATTCCAAAGACGTAAGATTCCTCTCCCTGTATTTCATGAACATTGTTGTTCATTCTGAAAATTTATTTGTATGTTTGTTTGTTGTATACCGCCGCACCCAACCGACCCAAACAGTAGAACCCAAAACGTGTTCTGTGTACACTTTAAACGATCTTGGTCCTGAGAAATGTGTCACCGAATATAAATATATGATTGCAGCATCTATTTTTCAGGACTCAAAAATTGATACGTACAAAAGAATGTGGGCTTTCATGAAGAAGAAGGAGCCGACAGTGTTTATGAAGTCTTACGAAGCGGGCGTGGCCAGGGTGCTTGAGGGGGGTTACGCCTTCCTTTCCGAGTCCACCATGATTGACTATATCACCCAGCGTAACTGTGATTTGATGCAGGTCGGAGGACTACTCGACTCCAAGGGCTATGGAATAGGCACACCAATAAGTAAGTAGCATGTTTCGTTTCTGTTTCCTGACTTGGACAACCGGCGGACACAAACATGATACAAACATGATACAAACATACCACCAGCACAAGGGCAGTTTCCATTGCGTGTGCAAAACAACATAGCGGGGAGCATTGCAAGAGGGACTCACCGGAAAGATAAGCAGGTGCTGCTCGTTCAGAAGCACCTGCATAATAAGTAAGCGTTGACTGACGCGTTAACGTTGCACAGCGATACATCTTCCATAAAACAGTGGCTTGTAAACAATTATTGCCTGACAAGACAATCAAGTGATAGAGAACCAGACAATCCAGTGAAACTACAGAGCAATTACCGATTTTATTGAACGTTGAAAGTAGAGAGAACACGATACTTACAAGTAAAGTTAAAAACTTAAAAAATATTTTTGCACAGTGCGCATTGGTAAAGGTATTAAATATAATGATTATAATCCAAATATTCATCGTCACAGGGTTGAACACCACGAATATGTTTCACGACATGGACACATATGGTTATCGAATCCCTATTCACGTAGTGATGACAGGGCGCTTACAATCACTGATCTGCTTTTCTGATAAATAATATAAATGTGTTTGGACATTCACATTATATAATTGATTTGTAGAGCTCATTGATTTCACTTGGTAGTCAGTCGGTAATAGTTCCCCACTTAGCTTTTCAAAATGACTGACAGGTTCAGATTCATTCTTGCCATATAATAAACTCTCAGCTAAAACGCGTCTAGAAGCCTTAAAAGGATTCGTCGAAGGCACCCCTCATAGGAATGAAACTGAACATTAGAATAACAGGCTACGAGGGAGCAGGTGCAGGCACTCGTATGGTGTTTATAAAACGAGACATTTTTCCTAGGATATTTTTTGTGTCAGTTCATCACAATCTCGAAGTCCCCCGATTGAATTTCATTTCGATGTAAATATGGGCAAGTCATATCGGACCACGAGAACTGTACAGAGCTGTATGAACGAGGCCATAAGGCCTGAGTCTATGTCTGACGTTGGATTGGAGATCAGGTCAACCTCCACTAGAAGCTTTGGATTGTATACTTGTACCATTTCAACGCACTCTATAAAACTGCTGAAGTACGGGCAAATTTCCATAAGGATAGGTGGCAACAGTTTGTACTATCAAGACATATATCCAATACCGTCGATAACGCGTTATGTTTAATGGTAGGGCTGGGTTAATCTGAGGAAGTGAATTTAAGTAGAAGCACTCGCCTCAACTGGAGAGGCGACAGGACCTTATTCATGTCGGGAATAATGCATAAGGATGCGGCAGACAGAGGGTCCCGTACTATACAACGGATCAAGTATAAATTGAAACGGGGACTGGAATATTAGGAACCTAAAATGGTAAAGGGTCGATGTAGTTGTACTATACTTCAATTCACAAGGCGTCTTTGCATGTAAATGGGATCGCGAGGTTACTGGGGGGAATTTATCAATAGCACTATGTCTAATAGATGTACGAATAAACAGTTATTCACGTACAAAGGGCGGTTTAGTAGCACAGTTGCCAAGCGTTCGGTCGGCACACCGAATACTGGGTTCTTGTCCACATATGGGTAACAACATGTTGAAATATTCTTGGTATCAGTGCCATTCCTCAATACGTCTTGAATGCTGTTTACCCACAGAATCAAACGCATCAATGAATCTTATGTAAACTGTAGGGCAAAAGAAACTACATCGCAGGTAATTGATCAGATGTTCGAATTTCAGTTGAAACATCTACAGTTAACGAAATCACAATAAAACATATACTGTACAGGTGTTTAAGCAGCTCTAAAAAGAATCGTTCTACTTGGGTTTATTATGAAAAATATTGTATGATTCAAAGCTGTAACAATAAATGTTTTTAGATATTTTGTTGTAAAGGGATATCTAAATCAACGTTTGGCTCAAATTTCCAACATTCTATGATTCCATATAAAGTCTTCATTGAACCAATTTATTTTCACGCCTACGTTTTTACAAGCTGTTGTAGGAATGAGTGATGGTTAAATAGACACAATCAAATACTTCAGCAGTTCTTTCAACTTTCAGTTAAAAAAAAAAGTGGTATATTTCTTTTTCTCATCCAGTATAAAGTATATATGTTCTGATTTGATGCAGAGTCGTATTGATTGAGTAGCGTTTCAAGGAAAAAGCTAGCAGTGTATTATATTTTATGAGTAATTGAAATAATGTAATGGGTTTCTTAAATGACGTCTTACCTTTAACTTTAGAGTTACTTCCCTTTCAATACCATTCTCTAGCGTGTCAGCATGATTGGACATTATGGGCACTTTACACCGATTATTCAGAGAACACGTGTGATTTTGTGATTGCGTCTTGCTTGATGAGTTCATAAAGTTGAAATCAAACCTCACGGGGAATAAACCTTTATGGTATTATTAATATGTGTATTTTTCATCGAATGGGGAGATTTGTGAATGTTATTAAATGTAACCCCGGCAGTTGCAGCAGGAAATTGACAGAGTTCTTATTACATGCAGATCTAGTTTACTATGGGATCGACTTCACTGAGGGACTTCGGACTGATTTAGTTAAAATGGAATCTATAGAGTATTGACACAGAATGTTAATCTTAATGCGTAGTAATATGGAAATGCAGGTTCACGGAGCGTTACAGGGTCATGCGGCCGTACTCCGGTCAGCGTTGTGTTTATAAGTTGACATGTTCCTGTAATGTAGATTAATTAAATGCGGCGTTTGTTGATATGCGTTCATATTCTCATACAATCAAGGAGTATGTACTTGTTCACCAGTCATATTATTATTATTATTATTTTATTAATACATTGCCGGACTTGGGTGAGCTACTACCGTTAAGAGGGAAATGTTTGTTGTGACACAAATTTGCCAATTCAGGATACACTAAGTCTTGTCCAGAACGGGTCTTCATAGTGCATTCGACGTCATTCGACGTCACCTGAAATGATTATTAAGATATTCTGTACAAATCATAACAGTACACAATGACATGATTAAAAGATTATATTTTGTCATCATGGGATACATCTTTCCTATCTTGTACCAGCTATTAATTGAAACATCGATAAATACAAAAGTACAAGTTACCCTAACGCTTAGTCTCTGAATGTATATAGTTGTGATAAACAAAACCCAATTTAAATAATAGGAGTCCCGTGTAACTGGGAGATTTAGAACCTGAATTTGAGAAAAATCTAGACTTGCTTCATTCAGGACTTTTGCATAGCAGAAAGGGCTGGGTGGAAGAGAATGTAGTGTGGTTCAGGAACTGCGAGGCAGACTAAAGTACAAACACGTGGGCATTAGTTGGTCGATTCACTTAGATGTATTTAATTATGGAATTATGTTAGATCATATACGTAACGAGCTATGAAGCGAGGCCAAACCCAGCCTTCCTCGCTCCGAGACACTGAACTTATTGTCAAGATAATGCAATTACAATGGGCGAGGAATGTGCAATAGCGAGGATCCCGACCTGGCATGGCGCTAGTGTCTGTTTTAATTATTGCTTTATTCAATAACGTGTTGACAGTAGTAGCGAGGGGTGCGACCTTGTGTAGGCGACCACCTGTCCCAAGTGGCTTTGGTAATTCCACTTTCCCAAATCCCTTAAACAGTGGCGTTTCCTTCACTTACAGCGCCTGCTTCATCCCAACACAGGAATCCATCACTGGTTTTCTTCCATCTGTATGTTTTACTCAGTGTACGCGTAGTATGTTCAAGAATTCAAGAACTAATGGTAACTATCAAAGATAAAGTTTAATAATAGCTGTCTCTGAGGAAGATAAAAAAGTATTTAAGACTACAGCAACAACTTCGGTAGGACCAGAAGAATCTAAATGTTTGAGTCAATTGGTCTCCTGGGATCTTTGAAATAACAGCACTTGAAACCGATCTTCACTGTTTTACAAATAATACACGAGAAAGAATATTAGTAGTTGCTTACAATTTGGTAGAAAAATGAAGTAATTTAATTCTGTGGAATAAGCAACGTTTTCTGTAAACCTTTGGGGAAACAACCACGCAATTTGAGTGACATGCCGTGTTTTGTTTCACTATTTGCTGCTGACGTGTGTCTTACATGAGATCAATCGTGTTGTGCTGAAATGTTTAGAATCCAGGCAATGTAGATCCTCCACGAAGCATACACAGGCTGTATGTTGTGAAATATGTACGGGATAGTTATACATGCATTGTTTGTCAGTCAGGCATTGCCTAAAATAACACAAGCCATTAATCACATCTAGACGTTTACTTGAAATTAACCGCACGTTGTATTAACAAATGTTACCTTGTATTCTGGTTAGCTGAGACGCCTTGTGTAATTTTAAATGTACGCCACTAACATGTGAAGAACATGTATTATCTTCCTCGCTGAAATGTTGGCTTTACATGTGCAACATTCCGACCACAGTTATGTTTTTCGAAACAATAATCCGTGGAGATAAACAATGGCCAAAGTGGGTTTATGCCTGCGTTGTTTTGGTTGTTGTTTAACGTACAATCTTCCTAGTAAACCATCCCGCCATCCCGTGTATTTGTACCTCTAGTGCCGAGTATCCCGGCCTGAGTGTAATAAAAGTTCTGTTCTGTTCTGTCGAACTCAGAAATATTCCAGCTATATGACAGCAGTCTGTAAATAATCGAATCTGGACCAGACAATCCAGTGATCAGCATCATGAGCATCGATCTACGCAATTGGGATACGCTGACATGTGTCAACCAAGTCGGCGAGCCTGACCACCCGATTCCATTAGTCGCTTCTTACGACAAGCATGGGTTGCTGAAGATCAATTCTAACCCGGATCTTCACGGGTGCCTACGTCGTATACTAACTGCCCTGGGAAGAACATGGATGCATAGTGCATACCTGTATAAGTAGTTGAGCGGTAACATACATTAGGTTCCACTGATCCTTCGGGTAATATAGGTTGGCATACCATCTTTTGGGTCAATCAACTACTATTCTCCTTGCGAGTAGTGAGTCATAATATACCACTGACCTGTCTGACGAAGTGTTCCTCTGCTTTTTTTGGTCCTTAGCATGAAAATACACACTTCCAAATTGGTACGAAATATCCTGCAAATATACTGTCTGGGTTATTGATATAAATATTTTACGACTGTAAACGCCGTAAACATTCGGATCAAACAACCACTAACACTCTATGTTTTTATTCCACTTTGTGTTCCAACAGATTTAATGCATAAAGAATTTTACTACATACACGATATTATATATTTTATATATGAGAGAAGTGTTTGACAGTTTGTTTGAATTGTTTTTGAGCTAGCACTCAGTATAGAGCAATCCAAATATACTCAGTTTGTGTTGTTTGTACGTGGTTTGGGATGTATATGTATGGAATGAAACGCACCATAACATAACTGAAATGTTTACATAGGTTAAAAATAAACTCAATGTGCGAAAACCTTTTAGGTGTAACCCCGTCGAAATGTCACATATAAGAACATTTGGGGGCAAATGATTTCCCTAAAATTGGCCATATTCTGAAAAAGAGCAGATGGTTGTAATATGCCAATCTATGGGAAACGTTTGTTCAGGAAAGTGTGCTTTATGTACCAAGCACACCCTTAGTACTGACCGCTGTCAAATGCAGCATGTATGGACCGTCCTTCTCGAGATGTAATTGGCACAGCAATTCGCACGACAAGTGGATAACAATTATGTCTGAGTACCTCCGAGGTCACAATCGGCGTGCGGGCTGTTCCGACAGTGCCCTCTCCGTGTGTCCAAACCAACCGTTTCTGTAATTAGTTTATCGTGAAATGAACGGGAAACAAAGGTCAATAATTGGTGGATTCTCTCATTTATCGTTCCCATCCAGACAGTTAGATTACCTCCGAATTCAGTCGAGGGTCGCCTCTTCTTATGGCTTGGAAGAGCTGACTATTGGATTAAAACAGCTTCGTCTTCCTCTTACAGTCAATAACTTATATTCATTGCCCAATATGTAACTTCAGATCTTTGCTTAAACAGACATTTGTTGAGGTGCCTTTAAATCCAAGTTAGTCTTGAGATTGCGATCAAAGGAAGCAGTTATTCGTATAATTTGATTAATAAGAGAATGATGGAATTATTTTCTCGGGATGGATAATCGCAAGTGAAACGTTAGATAGAAAGGAAACATTACTGTCTTTTCAGTTCTGAGATGAAAGGAATTAAAGACATCCTTGAAATTTATATGACCAATGCCTTACCATATAATTTCAAAATGTGGATTTAAAGGAAATATATTCAGAGAAAATCATTACATAGCACGATAACTTCTTTGCAGATGTGAATTGCAGTTTACGATTACACCGGACAGGATTTGTTGCTTACTATAACAAAACAAGCAGCATGTCAGCATGTCGAGAAGATGATCGTTTGACTAACATCTAGAGTCTGAAATGAAAAATACCGATAGAACAAAACTTCATTATATTTTAATGATCCTTTTAGCTTATGATATTAGGAAACTTATATATTAGAAAATGTAGCATTTTCGTTCATACATTAGATGGGTTGAACAGAATAGATGTAAGCTGTAAGTAGGAGTTTGTGGACGATATATATTGAAAGTATTTTCTTGTGTACAAAGGAGTCCCCCCAAAACAAAATATAAGAAAAAAAAAGAAAAATAGTTATGTGTGTTATCTTGTCAATATAGGGAGCAAAACCCAAAAGGCCACTTTTCATTGAACTAATACCACGACGAAAGATAACAACCTACATTCTTTTCTCTGAAAACGATAAGACCGACTGCTGATGTAGGTTTGATTTTAAATGACCTAACAAAGGGATGCTGTTCTGAGGCATAAGAGATGAAATCAGTATCATGGAAGAACTATTTGGTAACAAGATATTGTACAACTTGCATAACTTTCCGAAAATGATATTGCTCCTGGAAACTTAATGAGTTATGTTCTGAACATATGAACATGGGTTTCAAATCTGCTTCCTTGAGGTCATCACAGTTTTATAGACGGATTAATGTCAGTTTCTGCTATTTTTGAAACAGTCATATTACGCAATCATAGTGCCATGATTGGTATAATTCCAAGTTATAATAATCGGATTTCAAAAGACTAACTCTTTGTGAAACATGACCCTGGTTAATATCCTGTTATTTATATCCCGAAATGCTAATATACACGTTTGACATTTAAATATTCGTGTGTGCTAAATCCTATAGTCAGACAGTATACACAAACACCTCCCAATCAATCCTTCCTTTTCAAAAACTGCAACACAGATTCTCCAAATAATTCGTCGGTTAAAGACATAACCTATCTCAGAAATCATATCCTGTTTTCCCACAAGATAAACCTTAGCTGATGCAGCTTTGAATATATCACTGCAAAGTTCAAAACATAATAATGACATGAGGTTAAAGCCTCCTTGGAGTATTAACACCATGATGACGTACAATACATGAAAGGAAATATATATTATACATGGTCGATACATACTATACATTATATCCATCCAACATTGCCCTCTTTCAGATTCCGCTTATAGAGACAAACTATCCATGGCCATCCTGGAGCTGCAGGAGAATGGCCGGATCCAGATGCTGTACAACAAATGGTGGAAGAGCACTGGTACTTGCATGCGGGATGAGAACAAGGACTCAAAAGCCAATGCTCTTGGGGTGGAGAACGTGGGTGGGATCTTTGTGGTGCTGCTTGTTGGTCTAGCCCTTGCGGTGCTGGTTGCCATCTGTGAGTTCATCTATAAATCCAAGAAGAACGCCCGTGATGAACGGCATGCGAAAAAGGTAGCCCATTGCTGATGCTGTTTTCATTACTGGTGTTGTGTATTGCTTGATTGCGAATGTGTGCGTCCATGTGGTAAAGTTCATCATTCTGTGTGTTATAAGTATTTACTTTTAGCATATGTTTGAAGAAGTGCTATTTTAGTGTTGTGAGTTTTGCTTGATATCCTAAAAAGCAAGTGAAGACTTAAATTGTCAAATAAGTTAATAAAGCCCAATACGGCTTGGTTCATCTGAGTGGTCCTATTTGACAATTCCATTATTGAACATATTGTAACATATTGTAACAATGGTGTGCGTATATAAGGTTTTCTTTATCATCCATAAAAGTGATATTAGATTGATATCTAAATGATTTGCCATTAACAATTATCAAAACATGTAATACAATGTACAGGATTAAGTACTATAATGGCTCTTTGTGAACGGAAATAAACTTAATTTATCATCCGGTTTGAGATAATTGCAACTTAATGATGGTTAACATCCATCCGCGCAAGCAATAAATGCAATTAAAGTTTTAGTTCTCGTCAGTGGTGATATTTTGTTTCATGCATGTAGGCCCCGAAAGATAAGCCACGCTAATGAGAGACCTCAGGGTTTGTATCTCATTACCCTTTTCAAGCAAATCTAGTTCAGGAGATCTACGTGGTAGATCAAAGCTGGCCTGACAGGGAGAAGTGAAATCTGGCTTCGTGTGTTGTATTGGTGACTGTTGTCCTATTGCACTCTCTATACTCTCAATGTTGTCGAACTCACCTCCAGCACCAATATCTGCAACGTCAACAGCATAACTACATGCCTTAACATAAGTAGCATCAATACTCTTGCACCCAATTTTCGGTAATGGTGTTATACCATGCACTGTTTTTATCTACAAATGTATTGCGATTGCGAGGAAATTAAGGGAAGAAAAGTTTGAAAATATATTCTGTACAATATCTCAAGACATCCTATAGAAATCGAATATATTTTGACAAAACCATATTTGCTGTGAAATTAAATGTTAATTCTCTGTCGAATGATATCGGACTAGTTTTGAAAATCACAAAACAATCGCTGACAATTTTCTATATATATTTATTAGCACCTTTTATAGAGCATGCATAACAATACAATGTATTTTTATGATATGAATATGCAAGCTATTTATGTAAAACATAACGGGTATTGACTGGAATAATGTATTGATCACTTCCTTGAAAGGACATCTGCCACGAGTCAAAACGATGCCAAATAATGAAACAATCCAAACAGCCAACATATCGACATGTCGACAGAAACATGATACCGTATCGTATTTGACCATTTTCACATTAATCAACGTCAGGTAATAGTATGTCATATGTCATCATTAAATCAACATTTAAATTATGAAAAGAATGTTTCTTGCTGATGACACTTTTCACAAAAAGTTTATAATATTTTTCATATAATCTTTTTAACTTGACAGACTTGTGATTCCTGCCCTAAACGTCTGGAGGTGAGTGTCAGTAGAAGTTACATATGTTGAAAGTCTTTCATCTCAAGTCTATCTGTCGTCCTTACTGTTTGAGTCAGTAATTGTATTAGCCCGTAAAGCTCAAAGTTGTGATGTAGCTGAACAGCTATTTTCATCATACTATTTAGATTTATTCATTTAATGCATGCATGCAGCTTTGCATTATCAATGTACGTAATATATAAAGTAGTTTTTCAACACCAGGTCTTTTACTTCAACCCTCCTGTTCATTATACGAGGTTTTAGTGCAATGTATGTACAAGTCTTCCCAAAATAGATATTTTATTGTGAAGGAAAACCGTTAAATAGTAGCTTAGCTTCCCCCGGATAAGTCTCTTTCCTCACCAGAACATCCTTCTTCAGCAGTTTGATGTCTTTTTAGAACGTACCATAGTGATTATAAAAGGGTTGTTGGAATATGCGTTCCCACCGGAACAAATAACCTTGTAAACACTTTAACATGATGGCAAGCACTCTCTATCATCAAAGGTAAAGTCGCACAAACTTTAAAGCCAATGTCAATAAGTACCTCCAATATTATATATCATTCACCACTCCTTGAGAGATAGCCATACACTAAACATAGAGTGTAATTATGTATTGATTCTTATAAATACACTGTTTCTTCTCGTCCGTAGCAATCGCTGTGTTCAGAGATGGGAGAAGAGCTGAGATTTGCAATTCGATGTCTGGGGTCTGCTCAAAAGCCGAAATTCAAGCGGAAATGTTCAAGGTGCAAAGCCGAAAAACATGGCGGACACTCACGGGGTTCTGATCTCCCAGAATCAGCCAATGGAATCATTCAGCTGAAGGAGGTCAGGAAGTCACCTTTGCCTAGCACGAGGGAGTTTGAAAGCGAGTTTAGACCAGATTATAATAGAGACTTTAACGGCGACTATTTACATGTGGACTACAGTGATGCAGAAACGTAAAGAGAAGCCGTTATGAGAGAGTCTTGATATTCATTTGTCACCAATGCGTGTTTATGAGAAAGCTGTAGTATGTGCCTGGCAGGTACATACACCTCCAAATACACACGCATGTGGTTGACTCCGTGCCTTACTGGTTTGGTGATCAGAGGGGGAGGAGTGGATGTGAAGAAGATGCGGACTGTTGGTACAGATGATGTTGCACAGAGATCCCGGAAGAGCCCACCATCGGACCCTGTTGGGGGTAAACTGTAAACATTACAGGTCCTGCATGGCGGGTAGATACAATGACTAACAGTGTCTATCACCATTGTGTGAATGCGTCATCCGGTTAACTGGTAGAACATGTGCCAACTCGACGACAACGCCAACTTCCGCCACTGCAATGACGTCAACGGCCTTAGGACGATAGAGGCATGTGAACGATTTTTTTTGCTTTGAACACGCGAGCAAGTCACTCAGCTTTTTTTCAGTAACAAGTCAGGCTACCAGTAGGGTTAGAGATAAAGGCAGAATAATTTTGCGACGGAAAAACAATTAAGTTATGAGTCTGTGTGTCTCTATATACTGAGCTGACAGAACATTTAGTTACTTTCAGTTGAACCCATTTGCAATATCTTCCCGCATATATTGGCCATAATGGGTTGACTTGGCGTGGCCGCTACGGAAATTGGTTGTAGGGATCATTCAGAACGCTTTGGTGCACATCATTTGGAATATGTACTTAACATGCATACCATTAGCATGCCATGTGTGTCATGTATGTCTGATATACGAAGGTATTGGCAGGACACATCGGATACAGTGTCCATCTAGCGTATATGTGTGTGATTATATGGGCGTGCCAAGGGCAATGATGTACCTATACAAATTGACCATGTACATATACAACACATTGTATTATACATCCTGAGGGATACGTGTTAATTTTTCAGTGTTCATAAAGACGTAATTTATTCCTCATGTATGTAAAATTTGTACAGATGTATATTTCAAGCTGTTCTTGAGCCCTACAATGTGAGTTATTACTGCACTGTGAGATGCGATGAGTATTTATCATTTCTCAGAATATTGATTCTTGATGGCATCCAAAGTATCGTTGAATACTCACGCTGTTGTAAATGTACCTATTTTGAATAAGTGGATCACCAAATAAACACCTCGCTATATGTACAAAACCCTCACAAATACTACAAACTGGATGTATTCACAGTGCTGTCAACTAGATGATATAGTTTTGTACTTCATCCTATAATGTTGTAACTATTATCTGACATCATGAACTGTTGTTGATACCACACACACTTGGGATGTAGATGTATCTTGAAATAACAATACACACTTCATACTTTTTATGTAACAAAGGTTTAGTTGGAAAATACATGTTTTACGAATCATAAATATACAGTTCGTGTACTGGCAAATAATTACTACAAGAAACCATAAAAGTGTCAAAATGAAGTCACTAATATAACTTCATTTTCAAGACGGCTGCATATATAGTTTTGAATTCATTTTCTTACAGGTAAACATTCAAAGAAGGGAGTATTTTTCATATTTAATAGAATATCGATTTCCATACTAAGTATTTTACAGTCGCTTTCTTCGGTATGTAATAAAAAGTAATCACACATAATGCTTGCACGCATTATGATTGTGCAGTGCATCGTTTCAAGCTGATAAACGTTTATACAATCATGTACATAAAATGAATTATGAATGCTGTACAATGAAGTGTTGATACTTTACGAGTATCATTGGGTTGTATAAGTTGTTTATTTTGGCACGAAGTTCTTAATTTATTCACAATGAACCGTGTTGAGGTTTATGCTAGTGTGTTCTATACTGTTGTGTCTATCAAATATTTGAAAGTTGGCAGTTTTTCAAAATCGATTTATTGTGCTAACATTGCCTGACTAGAATTTGTGTTAAGCAAAATTGTTATTATGGCATCTGTTTAATTTTCGTGTATGTTACAAATGTCATAATTGGAAATAAACTGCTGTTATCAACGCTGCCATTGAAAGATTGGAGGATAGAAAGCCATGTCCACGTTGATAATGGTTGATGAAAATAGGATGATTTCATATTTTGGTTTTCAAAAGGCTTGTTCTTTACTTATTACTCCCACGTTGTCAACATTTTTCGTGCGTTGTAAAAACACTTGAGAGTGAATGAGAAACGAATTTGTTATTTGATTCCTTTAAGGTTAAATTTAATTAGCATAATTTCATCATGAAAGGTCGTGTGTAGAAATATGTCATTCGGTTGGTAAATATTGATGACAACAGACAATATTCACTGATTATCTGTCTCTAATAATGTCTGCAACTCCCTTCCCACGTGGGCTAAACTACGCACAGCTGGTCTGTCTCAAAGGTTAATGTATTCTGTATGTAACGTTGTTGTTTCTTAGTTTGGTTGAGCTATCATGTACCTGTGAGAGTGCGTCAGACGGAATTTGTAATGCGTGCTTTATGAGATTTTAGAGATTTTAATGACTTCTTCAATCTAATAAATTTTGGTAGAAAACTGTATGGACTGCTACCTTTTATTGGTCGACTATACACATTTCCTGTATATTCTAGCTGATAGGTAAGTGTTGCCTTAGTGAGCGAGTGAGTGACTTCACATCTCTTCGAAATGTCTTTTCGTTATATGTTGGCGTGTGCAAAAGGCTTTCGAGAGATTTTCTTTGCTGAAAGAGTGTTGGCAGATGAAGCGTTTTGAAAATATGGGATACGAACACAGGATTAGAGAATATTAAAACTAAGGACGCCGGTTTGCAGTAACCACTCGGCCACCATGGTGTTTAAGAAGCACATTTTGGCGATGCAGGCCCACAACGTACACCAACCATGAAGGCTATATCTGTCCTATCTTAACAATAATTGTTTACACACTCCACAAACACAAACTAAAGACAAACAAAAAGAAACATTCGGCCAGTGTCCGTGTGCATGCCTGAGGTAACTACGTATTCCTAGACGGTCGAGGTGTGTCCAGTGAGTGGTGAGAAACGTCTTCAGAGCCAGTACTCTCAGTACGCTAAAGTTGTTGACGAAGCTGCAAAATAAAACGAGGATGAACCCGAAATGAACTCGACTGCATTGTTTACTACTACTACTACTACGAATAGCTACAACGAATAACTACTACCACAATTACTACTACTACTACCAATAGCTACAACTAATAACTACTACTACAATTATTACTACGAATAGCTACAACTAATAACTACTAGTACAATTACTACTACTACGAATAGGTACAACTAATAACTACTACTACAATTACTACTACTACTACGAATAGCTACAACTAATAACTACTACTACAATTACTACTACTACTACTACGAATAGCTACAACTAATAACTACTAGTACAATTACTACTACTACGAATAGGTACAACTAATAACTACTACTACAATTACTACTACTACTACGAATAGCTACAACTAATAACTACTACTACAATTACTACTACTACGAATAGCTACAACTAATAACTACTAGTACAATTACTACTACTACGAATAGCTACAACTAATAACTACTACGAATAGCTACAACTAATAACTACTACTACAATTACTACTACTACTACGAATAGCTACAACTAATAACTACTACTACAATTACTACTACTACTACTACGAATAGCTACAACTAATAACTACTACTACTACTACCAATACCTACTACTAATTCTATGAATATCTACTACTATTGTTAATTCTATGAATAACTGCTGCTACTACTACAACTACTACTACTACGAATAACTACTACTACTACTACTACTACTACTACTACTACTACTATAGAATCTATGAACAACAACAACTTCTACTACTGCTGTTTATCCAAGAATGCTATTTGTCTTTATTCTGCCACTGGTATTTATCCAGTTCCACTGATGCCACAAGTCAACCTAAACCTCCACTCCCTATCACACACATCTGTTACACCTACTACAGCCTCGGATGTGCTACATGGCGAGTCCTTTCAACGCTACAGCGACGTGGACGTAGATCAAACACCCACGCTATATCAAAGGGTTAGGGGTCGTCTAATCTGGCCACATTACGATAGATACTGATGACAATGCTGGTTAATTATCACATTTGTGTTGAATGTTCTCTTTCATCTTTCGCCAAGGAAGGAGCGCCATAGGTTCAGAAAGCGTGTTTGAAGTACCTAATATAGAACATTTGCTCATACCCAGCTGAGCGGGGTCGTTTCCTTTTGTATGCGATGTCAGGCAATGGTTCAGGTATAAATACCATTAGAATGTGCTCTGAATTGTCCAGGTAATTACTTCGGGTGCATAGGAATGGTCATGATAATGATTATTCCCGGAGACCGGAAGGCCGATGGTTTGATGCCCTTGCCGACGTTACAGATGGTATTTGATGTAACCCTATCTTGCATTAGGCAGTAAAGGGGTAAAGCAAGAACTAGCAGCCTTGGGTTCATTATCCATGTTAAATCATGGCATGGTATATGTGGACTATTTGGTGAAAACAACCCTTTTAATCAGGCATAAAATAGAGCCAGATAAAATTTGCCAACGGTGTTGGTAGCATTTTGTCCCAGTTTCGTTGAAAGTCCTTCACTGAGCGGTCCAAAAGTGTCTCACATTTGCTGTGATGACGAATCGAAATGGAATTCGGCTAGAGCGTTCTTCGTGTTTGGGAACGTACGGAAGTCTGACTGAGCCAGATGCGGGACATGAGACTGATGTTGAAGGTGTTCGTACACGTGGATTGTAACAACGACAATGACTAATGTGTGTACTTGCGCACTGTCCTGATGGGAGCCTTTCCAGATTTCTTAATTCCATTCCGCAGTTGTCTCAAACGTGCATCATAATTTGCTCTGTTCAATAGTTTCCCTTTAGGATGGCAGTCCACCATGTCGTGACCTCCCCAGACCACAGAGTCCGTAACCTTTCCAGGTGATGGGACGGTCTTAGCCTTCTTTGGTGGTGGACATGTGAAATTCTTCCACTGTTCGTATGAACTCATGCTTGAAGAGGTGAAGCAAGGTTCCATCTTTGGTCACAAATCGATGCAAAACCTTTCTGCAGGATGTCAGTTTTGAACGCAGCAAGATTACCCCGAGACATATTGTGCCCGGTTTTTTTGTTTATGAGATGTCAGTAATTTGAAGCCAGACGAGGTGATCGTGTCTTTTATGAGGTGACAATGTTTATTCTCAAGTTGGCCATCAACTTGGATGCTTAATACATATTCTCTTGGCACGTAGTTCCTTACTTTGACCTTATTTTGCTGGCTTGTTACATCGAAACAGTTTGCTCAACGGACTTTTGTTAACTCTAGAATTCCATGTATTCATCACAACTTCTATGTCTGGCTCAGAAGTTATCAATCATCCCTCGTATCATCATCATTGTCGTCGTCGTCGTAATCATCACCACCGTAATCACCATCATTATCAACGTCATCCTCGTCGTTGCACTTCAAGGATTCCAAGAATTGTAAGCACGGTGAACCGAAACAAGTCTTCGTCTGTAGCAAATGTTATATTACATATTCTCAGAAAAGTATAAATATACTGGAGGCACTTTTGTTGGGTTGAATCCAATCCGGAATTCGGACCCACACTCTCAGAGTCAGGCACCTTATCCCGGGTGGGAACACACCCAACAAAAGTACTAGTCTAGTACATCTGTACTTTACTGAGAAAGTGTAATCCCAAATATAACATTTGTTACATTTGACCAGTTTCTAAAGGCATTGTGTATCCACAAGTATTCAGCTGTAGCGAGCGAGAACATCTCTGTTAAAAAAACACCACTTGAACAACAGTTTATTATTCAAATATCTGTAACACATATTGCAGTGACCCCAGCGACCCCGTGATCACATTTACATGCGAAAACGCTAAGTGCATTAAAGTACGGTGTAAGCTTCTTAATGATCGTAGTGATGAACATCACATGTGCAATGATTCTGTCATATACCGATCCACAAACACATAAAGAGAGCTTATCCAACTTCCTAATTTCGTTTAATTTCAAAATAACACAGGCATTTATGTAATCCCGTTTCCCTCTTATCTGACTCCGACTCTTTCAAACACGCATCTGCAGGGACTCTGTGATCATAATTAATCTTACTTCTTCTAGTGTTTCATTTAAGCGCCGCCGGTAACCATTCATACATATTTATTAAAGATTGAGCATGTAACTCCGCCATTATGATAGAAGGAGCCTGTTATCACAGCTCACTCTTTCTGAGATAAACTGGGTATCACGTAATAAAATAGCCGCTCGAGAATTTGCACCAGGGAGTGAAGAATGCTGACATCGAGAAATTGATTACAATTTGCTTTAGGAGCAAATGAGGTGCTCTTTTCGCGACTTGTTATCAGGAAGCGAAACCACAGGTTTGATGGCAACGCACTGCAGTGACTGATGGATGCTTATAGACCGCGGTCTGCATTCTGAGTGCTGGTTCTGTTACTGACAGACAAGGTCTTACCACACACTGAGTCGGTGACAAGCCGTGTGGATATGTTTCCGTGTGTTGACCTTTACTCGCAACGGGAATCAGTATATTTCGCCCTGGCGGCACTAATCGCGTCTTACCAGCCCGCGCGATGCTTCTGTCAACATTTATGCATCGCAGTGCAAACGCATTCCCAATAAAATTTACAAATCCAAACCCGGAATGGCCCATTAGCATCAGCGGACGTGCGATTAGGGATTATTTATGAGGCGGGAGAAAGAAAAGTTTTTCTCCTCTAAAAGCGACTTTCAAAGAACGTAGGTATTTAAGAGGGTTTCTCGCCAGCCACGGGGACAGGTTGGTGATTATTTAAAGGATCTTCAAACGTTAATTTCACAGTCAACGTTAGATAAACTATACTAGCGAGAGAATACATCTGTCGTCTTTGGATACAAATTCGTACAATGTTAATGGAATCGTAATCCGTGACACGGACCACCACTTTAAACATGGCGTTTCGGTGTCTACTACTGTCAGTTCGTGGTTTAAACAATGTACAGCGGGAGCGTGTGAGGGGGCGCTAGTTCGGCGGCTGCTTAATCATTAAATGACTGTTCTCTAATGTTTAACCCTATTGATTTATTTACTCATTCATTCATTCATTCATTCACCATCCATATTTCCATTTATTTATTTATTTATATATTTATTTATTCTGTTCAAGGCAGCACTCATAATCGAATCTCAAACAGACAATCCAGTGACTGACATCATGAGCATCGATCTGCGTAGTTGGGATACTATGACATGTATCAATCGTGTCAGCGAGCCTGACCTACACGACCCTGTTAGTCACCTCGCATGGGTTGCTGAAGATCAATTCTAACCCGGATCCTCATGGTCTATATTACATATAGATTTGTAATTAAAGGTGGCACAAATTCATGTATATACGCTTCGTTGTTGTAACAGACACACATGAGCAATTCAGAAACTTAGATCCTGTTCAAATTCCACACTTAGTAGGATTATGCTTCTAGGTTTGCCAACAC